AACCCTAAACCCTAAACCGACCTGGGCCATGTTGAGAGCGCCGGCGTTTGCAGCACAGCCCACGGCAATGGCCAGGGTCTCCTCCGGTCCCCAAAAGCCTATACTTCGGGGTTTGTTTTTTTGTTTAGGGTTTAGGGTTTAGGGTTTCTGGGTTTAGGGTTTCTGGGTTTGGGGTTTAGGGTTTAGGGTTTAGGGTTACCAAACACATACCCTATGCTTTAGGATTTAGAGCTTAGGGGTTTAGGGGTTAGGGTTTTGGGGTTCCTACCCAGAGAGCCCAATACCGCCTAATTAAGGAACAGAGCTTAAATTATAAGGGGCTACTATTCAGATTGAAGCTTTATTCCTCATTCAAGGTATAGTTAGGGCCCTAGACCGTTTAAGGATCCTAATAGTAAGGTCCCCGGAAGCACAGGGAGCCCTAAACCCTAATCCCTAAACCCTATATCCTAGACCCTAAACGATACATACGGAATCTACAACGAAACGGTTCAGGTCGGCGCATACGCAGGAAATCCGAACAGTCAGCAGTCCGGCGCAGCGCTGCTCTGGGCGCAACGGGCGGCGACCTGTGCAAAGGCTCTATATTTTGTGTTTTTCTGCATACGAGCAATCAAGTAAATGGTAAACCTGATATAAATTTGCAGTAAGTACATGTGAATAGATACACACATTATATATATATATATAATATAGATTTACAGATATGCATACACATAATGACCCACACTATACATATATACATGTACCCAGCAATGTTACAGTTCAGCAGTCTAGCCGCATCAAGAACTTTGACGGCCTTACGCCTACAAGCCGAAAGACCAGGCAGGTGTTAGAGCCCCTTTAAACCTGCTAAATCCTGGACTCGAAAACACAAATCCCTAAACACTAACCCTGGGACCCAGAACAGCACCGAACCCTAAACCCTAAACCCTAAACCCAGCCTCAAATTATGAGTTCATAGAGCCGTCGGGTAAAGCCTCAGAAGCCGCAACACCAACAACTCGCAAGGCTAGGCAAGGAATTGACCCTATTTTTAGCACTCCCAAACCCTGAAGCCTACAACCTCAGCCCCTAAACCCTAAACACTGAACCCCTGAACCTAACCCCTAAATCCTAAACCCCTAAACCCTCAACCCTGAACCCCTCAACCTAATCCATAAATCCTAAACCCCTAAACCCCTAAAGCCCTAAACCATATAAATCCTACACCCTAAACCCTAAACCCCTAAACAGCCCTTAACCCTAAATCCTACACCCTAAACCCTGAGCCCTGAACCCCTGAAGCCCTAAACCCTAAATCCTAAACCCTAAACACCCTAAACCCCTAAAGCCCTAAACCTAAACCCCCTAAACCCTAAATCCTACACCCTAAACCATAAACCCTAAACCCCTAAAGCCCTAAACCCTAAACCCTAAACCCCTAAAGCCCTAAACCCTAAACCCACCTAAACCCTAAACCCTAAACCCCTAAATCCCTAAATCCCTAAAGCCCTACAGCCCTAAAGCCCTAAACCTAAGAGTCCCGCGCGCCTCGGCTGCCAGCGGCCGCGCAAAGGGGCCGAGCTCGGGAGCCTCTTAGTTCCCAGAGACTCCAATACCCCTTAATTTAGGGTTTAGGTTTAGGGTTTAGGGTTTAGGCTTAATTACGGAATATACCTTAAACTTTATTAGGGATCCTATCATAATTTAGGGTATATATTCCTTACTTAAGGGGTTTTGGAGTCTCTGGGTTCAAGAAAGGGGGCGAAAGGCCTCTAGAGCCCTTACAGAAACCCGCCACAGATTCCTTTAAGGGACCCTAACTTAGAGCACTACCCCTTTAGGTCTTTTTACATAGGGGCGGCACTCCTTGGAGATTACACCAGGCTTCGGCTTCAGTCTCAGATCGGGGATTTAGGATTTGGGAGGGTTCCTTAAAGGGATCTATAAGGTATAAGGGTTTAGGGTTTAGGGTTTAGGGTTTAGGGATAAACGGGATCTACAAGGGTTTAGGGTTTAGGGTTTAGGGTTGTGACTGTAGGGTTTAGGGATTAGTGTACTTCAGAATGTTACTATAATAGACTAGCATTTGCTTTAGTATACTCTTATATGCTAGCTGCTACCTACTATAAGACACGGTAAGTCCGTAAGTATTTACGGTTCTAGCTGTCGAACAACAGCACACAAAGCCGGGTCTCTGATCCAGTCGCCAGGGCTTCGGAATGCCGAAGGCATTCTTGCAGATGCTCTTTAGGACAACCCCCAATCGAGAAACACCAAACCCCACAGTGGATACTGAATTTCAGGACTGAGACTTCGAACTTCAGAATACTTCGGAAGTTCGGGAAAACCGAATACCTTTCATTGACCTCTGAACACCCTTGATACGATAGTCAAGCGTAGCTCAGCTACAGCTACAGCTAGAGTCCTGGCTTCAGGATTTAATCCTGGAAAACGGCGCCATTCCAACGTCCTTTCCTGGCCCACTCCAGGGGCGAGCCGTCGTCCACAGCCTCGGACGAAAGACCCACCAGAAGTCGGAAGGGCAGGCGAATATGGGCTGAACAGTCTGAGACGACTTTGGCCGCGGAGGGGTCCATCTCCACATTCTCGTAGAGGAATCCGACAAATGTATGAAACATTGTGCCAAAATTGTTGGCCGCCTCGTCCTGACTCAGTCTTCAATGCTGCCGAAGTAGATGAAATGGTAACCTGTGCTGGGGAAGGCTGTCGCGGAGCTGCTTCATGAACTCGAGGGTCGGCCGGAACGTGTCAAAAACGTGATACACCATTTTTGTTCGAACTCTGTCCTGGAACAACCTCCCTCGATCACCCTGGTGTCCCGCAGACGACCACCGCCTGGGATTCAGGGTCAAAGACTCTTTGACCAGCTCCGCCACATCCAGCGGCGAGCCTCTGTTGATGTCGCCACGGTGCTCGACCCAAACATGCTTTTGGAATACTGTCTTTAACCATTATGTACACAAATCCCTGTCAAAAGCATGCGAACTCGAAACCTGCACGCTAACAAAACCCAACCCCTAAACTCTAAGATTCCAAGCCCTCAAACCTTCCAAGATGAACCCTCTAATTCAAACACCTAGTGTAGGGGCCTAAATAGATACCAATTCTTTTGTTGGCGGCCCCTTAGTATAATTATAGTATCATGGGCCCCAAGACTCTATTCTAATTATTAAGGCCCCTATATTAGAATCCTTAAAACAACCGTTAGCGCTGCTGAGTCCTAAGCGCTGCTGAATCCTAAGCCCTGAAACCTAAACCCTAAACCCTAAACCCCAAGCCCTAAACCCTAAACCCTAAACCCTAGTTAAAACCTTAACCCTAAAACTTCTAAAACCGTGCCAGGGCGCATGGTAAAGAAGCCAGGCCCTGAATCCTAAGCCCTAAAACCTCAACCCTAAAACCCTAAACCGTGCCAGGGCGCATGGTAGAGAAGCCAGGCCAGCGTCCGGAGATCCCGACGGAGCTCGCGCGCAGCCCGAGCTGCCGTCCCTTGGCAAGGTGGGCTTCAGGGTTAGGGTTTTGGGGTTTGGCGTTTAGGGTTTAGGTTTAGGGTTTAGGGTTTACAGTTTCAGGGTTGAGGGTTTCAGGGTTTAGGTCTAGCGTTTAGGTTTTGGGTTGCAGGGTTTAGGGTTTAGCTATAGTCTCCATTGTAGTTCCTGTTTTTGGTTTAAGCAAATATATATATATATATATTAAGGATTTTTATCAGGTATCCCCCAAAAAAGGAACTACA